TTGGGTGGGGGGTGGCACCCCGGGGAGGCTCCCGATGCCGAAGGGCGGAGTCTGACTTTTGGTGTTGGGAGCCCTGGGGAAGCCGTCCGCGTGGGTGCGTGGGGTTTGGGTAAATGGTAAGAGGGCGGCGGCATAGAGGCCCTTTTTCTTCCCCTTTGAACAAACTTTAGCCACGGAGCAGGAGCTAAGCTTTGGGGTAGATAAGCAGCTTTGGGTGAAACTGGTGAAGGAATAAATGTTGAGATGAAACAGACGGAAGAATAGATAAGATTTAGGGTGAAGTTGGTGGGGGATGAATTTAGGGGAGAGGTTGCTCCTAAGGTCCAGGCACCTGATCTCTGGATAGTGTTTGGGTGAATTTGGGAGCTGGTTAAAGACCGAGAACTCAGGTTACAAAAGTTAGGACTTGGAATGTGGTGATGGGAAGGGGCACGTGAAGCAACTGGGAGTCCAAACAGTCTATGCCCTGGGCTGGGGCTGGGGTGAGGGGACAGAGTGAGGCCGTGGGAAAGTGGGGTGCGGGGGGGTCAGGAGCCTGTTGACGTTCAGAGAGCTGTTGGCCCCGGTGGGCCAGCCCCTCAACCCCTTATGGGTTCTTTGTGCCTCTCCAGCTCAGTAGCGCGGCGGGCAAGGCGGGTGCCATGGCCCTGATTGAAGGGGTGGGTGATGAGGTGACTGTCCTTTTCGCGGTGCTTGTCTGCCTGCTGGTGCTGGCTCTCGCCTGGGTCTCAACACACACATCGGAGAGCGGTGACCCGCTGGCCCAGCCATCAGGGACCCCAACACCAGCGCAGCCCAGCGAAGCCATGGTGGTCACCGACAGTGCCAGAGGGGAGGCCCCAGAAGCTGAGACCCCCAGCCTGAGACACAGAGGTCAGGCTGCACACCCCGAGCCTGGCACAGGACTCCCAGCAACCACTCCACCGCCAGACTCCCCCCAGGAGCCTCTAGTGCTTCGGCTGAAATTCCTCAACGATTCAGAGCAGGTGGCCAGGGCCTGGCCCCACGACACCATCGGCTCCCTGAAAAGGTAAGCTGGGATGAGGAAGGGAACAAACGCCAAGGACTGGGTGGGAGTGATCGTAGACCTGGAAGGACCAGGAGACACTGGAGACTTCCCCCGCGACTCATAGATGAGGGGACCCAGATGCCCAAATCACACACTGTCCTGTTCCCCGCGGAGGAGGGGACCCCCTGGGCGCCATGACCTGGGTGGTGGGAGTGGAGGCAGAGGTAAAGGGCGGGAGTAGTATTCTGGGCCAGGGACGAGGATTGCTCTATTACCCAGGTCCCTCTCTCCTCAGGACCCAGTTCCCTGGCCGGGAGCAGCAGGTTCGACTCATCTACCAAGGACAGCTGCTGGGAGACGACACCCAGACCCTGGGCAGCCTTCACCTGCCTCCCAACTGCGTCCTCCACTGCCACGTGTCCACACGGGCCGGTCCCCCACACGCGCCCTGCCCACCGGGGTCAGAGCCAGGCCCCTCCGGGCTGGAGATCGGCAGCCTGCTGCTCCCCCTGCTGCTCCTGCTGCTGCTGCTGCTCTGGTACTGCCAGATCCAGTACCGGCCCTTCTTCCCGCTGACCGCCACCCTGGGGCTGGCCGGCTTCACGCTGCTGCTCAGCTTCCTGGCCTTTGCCATGTACCGCCCGTAGTGCCTCCGCGGGCTCCCGGCCGTGTGGCTGCTG